CTACTCCACAGGTCCGAGCGGACGCACGATACCCCTGTTTTATAACTCGAACTGCGCAGAGGATTCACCTGACCCTTACGTTGGCTAGCCTATGCTGCAAGATGTGCAAGGTGACTTTGTCGTCTCCTCTTTCGGTTTAAATTATAAGTGTGTGGCATTATCAGTAGTGAAGGTGTTTCCGTAAGGCGTGGTTGTGTAGGCCCACCTGATGGACACAATACTGTTGGGGTTGTGGTCAGGGTTTAGGGTTAGGGGTTAGAGTTAGAGGTTAGGTTTAGAGGTTGGGGTTAAGGTTAGGGGTTAGGGCAACTGTTTCTCAACCACTCAAAATACAACCGCGCATTCCCGACAACTTTTCTTTTGCACACAACTACTTGACCTCGTCGTCTGTGTGTTCCACGACCCCACCTGTAAAATCCCCTGTTACCATCGGTTCTGTATTACAGGTGACTGGGGTTTGTTTACTTTAGTTGGGGCTGCATAACCACATCTTACCCCTATTTCTGACCTATTTTTGCTGTTGGTCCAAAATCCTGGTCATGTGTTTGTATATTGTTGGTCAGAGGGTGTGGTGGCACGTCTAAATGCGGGTCCGGCCGTGTCAGCCAACTGCGCCCTCTCCCACCTTTAGTCTTCTTGACTATGTCATAACACCGAGTTCAGACGGGGGAGGAGAGAGAGAGAGAGAGAGCGGTTGATGCTGTGTAAGTCTACCACCGCTCTAAATTAAGTCATACACAAGTCACCGTGCCTGCATCTCCTTGCTGTGAAGCACACAGTGGACATCGTCGGCAAATTGTCAGTTGTAACCTCGGACAGTTGTTCAACGTCTCAGGTGTTACATTTTCTACACTTGCGACACACTTAGACAGTCCGCTTATGAATGGAAAAGCTGCCTCCAGTGTCGATAGGCGAATGACTGGAATGAACTAAGTTCCCACAAGTAAGCGGCATACTAAGCAAATATCCTGGAATATTTGCTATCATGTCCGAACATTGCTTGCCTTTTGTGCATCTGATAAGTTAAAACAGCGGAGCTCTGGAATTAATCGACTTTTACGCCTCTAGTCAACTTAATATGTAATTTCAGTGAGCGGCATACTTGCTGAATAAGTTCATATTATTTCAAAGGTTCATAATGTTTTTGGATAAAAAATAGCCAAAAATATACTTTGGTGAATCTTCATAAGAACTACTTAACGAAGTAGAGGGAAGTACTAAATGTTCAGGAAAGAGTCAAGCCTTTGCGTTAGTCTGAGTCCTAGGAACAAGAACTATCTTGTTTGAAACAGTCTAGAAGAAATAAGAAGCTCATGGAGCCAGAAAGCGTGTGTTACCAGTGAATTAACTATTCAATTTTAGCCTACGAGTTTCACAGTTGTTTGTCTTGGCGAGTATTCTTCAGGTACTGAAAAGCAACTACGTTATTTGAGAAGGGGGAATGACTCATAGGACAGATTTTTTGCATAAATGGCATTTCCAAGAACATGGTTGACTAAAAAGTGTCAGATCGTCAAAGGCACAAATGACCTCCACGTTAGTCGGCATTTAGCTAATCGTGTTCCTTCTTCTTTTTCCCTGCCTGAGCGTCTTAATGGAAGCCTGGCAAATTTGACCAGATCAGCCGTCGTTAGTAGTCGCCCACGTGGGGCTTGTTTTATTTGGTGGTTCCTCTGCTCTCGCTGCCGGACAATCTCTGGCCGATTTTCGGAAGTTTATTGCGGCCGCTTTGTCTTCGCCTTTTTTATTAACTGCAGTAATATTTCGTAAGCCGGAAAAGGACAAATTTGTCTGTTGATGGAATCTGCATTTTAAAACTACATCCCAAGTGTAGGTCGTGGTACCTCCGAGTTCGGGGACCCCCTAACGGCCAAACGTATGATCAATTTTTCCAACGTGTGTTCTAAACTGAGGGTTTGAGTCTAGGCTCCGGGTCGCCAGTTTGTGTTCATGTAGGCAGGTCTGGCGTCTACCAGAAGACTGGGCAGCGGAAGAGGAATAAGAATTGATTAGTTCAGGGTTGACTAATTAGGCGAACCACTTGCATTTCTAGTAGACTTCGTGAATTTAGCGATTCAACCATGGTGAACGACCTAACTCTCAAGGACAATATCGATATAACAGATTTGTTCTGGTGAGTTATTTCTCATTCTCAAACTATCATCCTGGTACTCTACTGCTGTGTTACTTTCTCAATTCCAGTAGTCAGTTCGAACTATAGTTGTTAAAAGATTAAATTATACATAGGATAGAACGGGGTTGAGATGTTAAATTTTAAGTCCGGAGGAACGGGGTTGAAATGATCCTTGAATGCTGGCACCTGATTTCGTTCAATGACGACGGTATCATCCACATACGGAACCCAGTATTTCGGTCGGTGTTGTCGGAAACCTGGTGACTCCAGCCGCTGCAGGATCGCCTCAGCTGAGTCCCGAAAGCTCTGAACCCGCTGATGTGCTTTTCACCTGCTCATATATCATTAGGCCGAACGTGAATCGTGTATCGAGACAGAACTTCCGAAGTTGGAGTATTTGGACGCTACCGAGACAATTCTTCATTTCCGCTTATTTGTCATGAAGAGTAGGTCAATGGTCTCCAATGCCAAATCTCGGAGCATAGAAATAAATAAGTACGTGACATAAAAAGATAGCACATCCTCGCTTGAAAAGATTATTGCATCAAGATGGTCAAGGAATTTTGCTGACGAACTGAATGTGGTCTCTGAATCGTCGATGGGGAATCTGAGACTCCGAAGCAGCCATTTTTCCTGTCCATAATTTGGATTGTCCCTGAGTGACACGATAGATCAGAGAACAGCGCTTTCTTTGTGCACATTTGGAAGAGCATAGAGCGTGGCCATGGTTAGTTCTTGGGCTTTCGCCATATGTCCGTCATCCGTGATGTTGCATTTGAGTTCTCCATTGGCAACAGCGTCGCATGGATTTCGCATGTCAGCGTTTTTATGGGGTTTGCTTCGAATGTGGTATAAAACCGACGATCCTCCAGCAGGCTATCGGCCTTTTGACAGTAGTCCGTCCTGATGGAACGTCGCTTGGCGTGGGCACGAGAACGCTACCGTTGCCACCTTTGAGCTACCTTAGCGCAGTATCGCGTTCGACTTTGGGAAGTACTTCGCACTTTCCACGAGGCCTGAGAAGGGAGGATAACTAGCGTCAGATAAGCTTCTTCGTCACGTCTGACGCGGTCGTAGAACTTAGGACCGACTCCACTGCTGCAGTCACGCCGGCCAGTTTGAGATCAACCTAAGTGAACGGGGTCTCATGCCATAACACATGTATTTGTTCTTCAGTCGGCTCCTTGGACTACAAGTTGCATACCATCTTCCAGTGCTGCGTCACGTGTCGCCCACTACTTACAGGCTCGTTCAGTTACCATCTGTTGTAACCGTTTTGTATCACACCCGCCCATGAACTCACAGCGTCCGAAATTTGCATGGTCAGTCGAGGGAAGACACTTGCGAAGCATTGCGTGACAATCCTGGAGTAGCACTTGGATCATTTTTCTGCCGTCTTTCAATGCTACACTTCTTGCCAGTTCCGTATTTGCCGGAGGCGAGTGCGAAAAACATTTGAGGAACACGCCATTGTCTAGAAACCTGTGCAGAAACCAAACCTATGCATAAGTATAGGCCTTGTGGCGAGCATGGGTTTCCCACCAGTAAGCCGATTGGAGCATTTTGCGCAGAAGACGGTCGGGGATATAAGCACTCATCGCATTACATGCAACAGTTGGCGATTAGTGTTGTAGCTGTAAGGCATGGGCAATGCATTCTATTGGTTCCAATAAATTCTGCTGTCTATTCTTGCTTCAAATTAGACGTCATTCTTGTGTTTCAGTGGGCACGATTTACGACCGTTGACTACTGTTCATCTCATTTGCCGACTAAAGTTTCATACTGTTTCTGCGTTCAGTTCACTGGCTGGTCGACGTCATTTCTTCATGCTTGTATCCAAGCAGAATCTGCGCATTCGTACACTTTACTATCATTCTTGAGTTTTTCGTCCGCGAGTCATGTTAGACGTGTTGTTCCCGGATTCTTCCCGCTTTGCGGCGAGACCACGGTTTTGCGTTGTTGTAGCTGTTCTTGTTGTGTAGAGAGATTCAAAGTCACGGGGACTGGTAGTTATGTTCTGGACTGATTTTCTAACAGTGCGGCGAACAGGTTTCCATAGAGCTTGGACCTAGACAAAGCAAAACACCATATTCCATTTCCTAGCAGGTCAGCACAGAAAATGAATATTTTCAGTTGCATGTACCCGTGCCTCAAACGACGGAGCGTTAGCCTAATGGCCAAATAAGATTAAAATAGCATGTACTGACACATCTGAATGACGCCAGGTACGACTACAGCGAAACCCGATTGACAAAACCGCGGTCTAACTTGTTTGGCACCTAAATGATTATAAATGCACACGCTACTTTCAATTTGTGAGTAGACATTAATATGTACTCTTCCTCAACGACCAGATCGATGGCCGCTTTTCGTTTGCAATTAAGTTAACAATATATTTTTCAACTTTCCCTACACAGGTGTTTTTTCTCAGGCAATATGTAACCACTTGGGAGTTCAAATGTGGTCGCTTATCTTTCCCTTAATACAACTGAACCGAGCAAACTACCATCATTAGGTGAAGGTCCGATCACACTGTGCTCCACAGCAAGGTAACGAAGACACAGCGACTTGTGCGTGAATTAGCTTATAGTTAAGGTGTACACTATGTCTACCGCACTCTCTCCTCCCCGATCTGGACCCCGTGTGTAGACAGAGTCAAGAAGACCGGAGGCGAGGGAGGGCGAAGGAGGATGGGACGGTCGATTCCGCACCGGGAAGCTCTGCGGAAGCATATCCTTAGGATCGGAAGGGGAAGTGGGGAAGGGTGGAGAGACGGGAAGCAGAGTTTTCTCTCCCCCTCCAAGCTAAATTGGTTGCTGATGCACATAAGCGGTGAGAAGACAAATTCAGCACAATGGCATTTAGCTTAGAGATACGTACAGTTGTCCACCACATGCAGCTGAATTCCGTTCACGCTGATTTGCGGCGCATTGTGTGCAGTTTTGGGTGGCCGTTGGTGCATGACAACCGCCTTTCCCGTGTTGATGTCCAGGCCGAAGTTCCCCCAGGCGGCGGAGAAGAAATCCCTGCTCCTTTGCATTTCTCCTTCTGTAGTTGCATTGAGTGTACAGTCATTGGCGAACAGAAGTTCGTGGACGGTGGTTGAAGATACACGGAACTGCGAGTGCATCCGCCGCTGATTGGGTAAGTGGCCGTCCGTCCTGTGAGTTATGCGAATCCCAGGACGTTCGTCACCGTCGGCGTCCATCAGCATGACAGAGAATATGAGACTGAAGAGGGTAGACACGAGGATGCAGCCCTCCTTCACTCTGTTGGTCACTGCGAATGCCTCTGAGACCGCTTCATTGTCTGTGACGCGCACCAGAACTCCATCGTGGAGCTGACGCACCATTTGAGCCGAATTTATGCATGATTTTCTACAGTCCGTCACGATTCACCGTGTCGAAGGAATTCGTCAGATCACGAAGGCAGAGTACAAGTGGATCCACATATTCTGACATTTCTACAGTTAGCAGGTGACAAACATCATGTCGGCGGTCCCACGCTGACGGCGGAAGCCGCATTGGCTTTCCGAAAGGAGAGGTTGTTCTAGATGGCTGTTCAGTCGGTTAAGAAGAATGCGAATTAATATCCTCCCAGCAATGTTCAACGGAGAGATGCCTAGGTAGTTGTCGCAGATTTGGCGGTTCTCATTCCGCTTATAGAGATGGACGATTGTGGCGTCCTTGAAATCCTGCAGGCCGGTAGACAGCTCTGATCGCGCAGAAGACATTCTTCCATTCGTTGCGGTCCTGGTACCCTTGAATCTCCTCGTCCTCCTGCATCTCCTGCTATCGCTGTTGCATAAGGCGCGACTACGGTAGAAGCCTGTTTTGTTGTCGTCGGTGGCGCGGTTAACGTAGGCTTTGTGCAGGCGGTTCCTGTCGGCGATCAGGTTGCTGATGGCTGCGTCGTTGTCATCGAACCAGTCCTGATGTTGGCGACGTGCGCGACTGAGGAGAGCCAGGACCGCCGACTGGACTGTATCCAGCACTCAGCACTGTCGGTTCTCCACGAAGGCGTTCTCGTCAGCAGCAGCAGCGGCGGCGGCGTCGACTGGAAGGCTGGCTAATCGCTGAGTCAGCTCATTGTTGAAGTGGAGATTGTTAGTAGGTAAAGACAATAGAGCAATAATCTGCTTACCTGGGGATCGCCTACCTCGAGGTCCCCTGCG